CAACAGATTTCCACCCGACTGGACCCTGACCACAGAGAAGCTGTGTGTTCAGCCACAGGGGTTAAATCAGACGTCTCCATCTCATGGAGAACTTCATGGAACGCCACTGTAACCAGCAGCTCTGTACACAACCCAGATGGCTCCTACACCATGGAGATCCGGCTCAAACTGCCCGACCATGTGTATGGTACCACGCTGCAGTGCATAGTGACACACCCCAGCTGGACAGAGAATTATACACAGACACTTCAGCTCCTCGGTATGTGTTACATTTCTAGAAATGAGGACTTTCAGTTTCATCAGAAACATGTGTGACTATTTTAGTGTTGGCCAGTCTTAAAAAGATTTTCTTTTCCAGATCCATTAATAGGCAGAAGAAACTTTAAAGTCTGGCAGTGGATAATCATTTATCTCACCCTATTCTGCTTTTTAACGGGCATTCTTGTTGGACTTTACATCTTAAGAAAACATCTCAGCAAGATAAGGTACGAAAGCATATCAAATTTTATTATGAGAATCAAAAGGGAATAGTTAAAATAATTCCTTAATGTAATGATTATGGTTGAAGAAAAAATCACCAGTTGCAACCGTGTTTTTATCTGCATGATCTCTTTCCCACCAGACATTGCTGCAAGTTAAGCACGTCAGCAGCCCCCTCACTCCGCCAACCACAAAAACGTTGGTGAAGGTGTGTAAAATGTGGCAGTAGTTGAACCAAATAGTGAGATTTGGGGGGCATCGTTAGGCCTATTTTAGTGGGACTTTTGTGCCCTTTAAAATGTTTTTCAGCCCCCTAAAAAAATATGTATTTATTGGCTTAAGTAGTGAATAGTTTGTCATCAGCCCCCCCCCCTCCTCTAATTGCACTCAGCCCCCTATCCATTCATCTCTAACTATGTCCCTGGAGAGACTGAATCAATAGCCCATACCTCCCACAATACTGATATATTCCTGTTTTCCCTCAAGTTTCCCTGAAGTAGGAGAAGTCAACCATGGGAACTGTTGATTCTCCTCTAAACTAGCACTAACTGATTAATTTATTGTGATAAATTGTAACTTCTGAAAACCAATCTGATGATTTGAAAAAGCACACCGGTTTTCATGCATATATATTAAGAAAAAGAAATCTATGGAAAATCTGTAGTTATATGTTGCTATTGTTAAGCATATTTAGTGTATTTCACAAAACTTTATTTAACTAATTGAATAAAATGTTTAATGGTGTGAAATGTAAAATTTTGATAGTCTTCTTTCCTGAAACCCTACACCTGTTCTGTTTCCCAGAATAGTTCTTCTGTACTCTGTAGCAGGTCTTATATCTTAATAAAATATAACCTCTTCTGGGTGCTAAAAAGCAAAATAAAACTTTATTTCATTTCTTCTCAGAGGGGAGAGGGTGTGAATGTGAGAGCAGACTGCTGTAGCGCATTGCAGGAGTTCTTTGACAATTCATACTGCACATCTACACCGTTCTTTATGTTTTGTTCTGAAACCCACCAGCCACAGCTTCCGGCTGTGAGTCTACAGCAGTGACCTGTTTTCCTGGCTAATGATGCATTATTAGCTGTACTGTTAGTCAAAATCAAAAAATATCAAAAATGATTGGTGTTCAAGTATGGACAATACTGCTAGAAATAAAAAAACTATATTTGTGAGGTTTTCACTTCTGAGTTTTCCAACATTAAAGCACGTCATGTGAGTTATGACACGATCTGTGTGCCTGTCATTTCCACACAACACTGTGTATCCTAGGTGGCCCAACGCTTGCTGTGTACATCCAGATCTGTAGTATGAGAGTATGACTCTTTTGATGAGATGAGTCATTGCGAAATATCGTTTGACCGTTCATACCAAGCGCTTTTGCTGCTCCTTTTACTGCTTGCATTCTCCTGACCACCACAGTTCAGTTTTACTTTTGCCTTCAATTAACTATATTAACAATCAAAGCACCAAATTACGAATGAAATATCAGTGCACCAAACGGGTACTCTTCAGATGAGATGCCAGTACATCACTGGGCACATGCATGTACAGATGTACAGACACACCAGCACACACCATGACTGCAGTCCATCCATCCATCCATCCATCCATCCATCCAACCCACATCAACCCAAGATGGGATATGTGGAAAAAAAAACTCCACACCCTCTGGCAATTCTAAGATAATAAAAAATCATCTGGTCCTTAGCAAGTCTTAAAATTAGGAAAATACAACCTGAGATGAACAAAACCACATGACATATTATACCGTGTCATCATTATATTTAACAAAAACTAAGCCAAAATGCAGAAGCAGTGTGTGAAAATTAAGTACATCCTTACTGCTTCCATAGGAAATAAGAGGATCAGTAGCAGCCAGGTGCTGCTAATCAAACACACTTGATTGACTGATCATCAGCAAGTGTGACCACCTGTATAAAAGCAGATGTTTTAGCAGTTTGCTTGTCTGGAGCATTCAGGTGTGTTAACACAATGCCAAGGAGGAAAGACATCAGCAGTGATCTTAGACTAGCAATTGTTGCTGCCCATCAATCAGGGGAGGGTTATAAGGGCATTTCCAAACAATCTGAAGTCCATCATTCTACAGTGGGAAAGATTCAAGACAGTTGCCAGTCTTCCCAGGAGTGGACGTCCAAACTAATTCATCCCAAGGTCAAACCATACGATGCTCAGAGAAACAGCCAAAAACCAAGAGCTACAGCTCAGACTCTACAGGCCTCAGTTAGCCTGTTAAATGTTAAAGTTCCTGACAATTAGAGAAAGACTGAACACGTGTGGTTTGCTTGGATGGGCTGCCAGGAGAAAGACTCTTCTCTCTAAAATGAAGATGCCTAGGTTTGCATCTGAACAGACAAGACTTCTGGAACAACATCCTTTGGACAGACGAGACCAAAGTGGAGATGTTTGGCCAAAATGCACATCACTGTGTTTGATGAAAATAAAATGCAGCATATCATCACAAACACCTCATACCACCTGTCAAGCAGGGTGGTGGAGTGGTGATGATTTGGGCTTGTTTCCCAGCCACAAGACCTGGGCACTAGCGTCACATGTCAGGCCAACTTTCCGACAGCTAAAGTTTGGCCGAAATTGGGTCATGCAACATGACAATAACCCAAAGCACACCAGCAAATCTATAACAGAATGACTGAAAAAGAAGGATCAGGGTGTTGCAATGATGTAGTAGTAGTAGTAATAATACATTAATGAATCCAAAGGACATTCCAAAAGCGCTACAGCAGCATCACTGTACATATACAATAGAAAAAGATACAATACTGTACAAAAAATACAATACAACACTAAATCACAATGTATTTAAAGAATACAATAATCTAGAAGGCTGGAGACTGAGTGGGATGAGGGTCAGGTGAGACACTTATTGGAGCATCTGATGGCAGCTGGGAGAAAGAATCTGTGACTGTGCTCGTGCGAGCCGCTGTCATGAAATGAATTGTCCTAGAAGTGCAGTCCATTTAAAGTTTCCCATTGTTTTTGAAGGTCACTTGATGTCATCCTCTGATTTGTAAGGCACTGACGGATAAACTGACGATCATCTCTGGCATTATAAAGTTGCTTCTGCTCTCTACCTGGTTTTTGGTCATTGCCAGTGTCTCCTGCTTCACCTTGTTCTTGTGTACTGCCGTCTTAAAAACTTTGAGCATGTAAGCAGCCTGCTACTCAGTGTAGCCTTCCGCCAGCAGAACCAGGATTAAACCAGGATTAAACCAGGGTTTAACAACACAGATTCTTAAAAATATAAAGTGGCCTCTTAATTTTTTCCAAAGCTCTCTCTCTCTCTATGTGTGTGTGTGTGTGTGTGTGTGTGTGTGTGTATACACACAACTCACAATAAGTTAGGGATATAGAATAGAATAGAATTAGAATAGAATAGAACAGAATTAAACTTTATTGTCATTGCACATGTCACAAGTACCTGGCAACGAAATGCAGTTTGCATCCATCCAGAAAGTGCTTTTAGCCATAATATTTACAAAAATATATATTAGGAATAATATAGATATATAGATATATTACAAAATGGGTCTATTATAGATATTAGAGTACAAAAAATATTAGTCTATTACGGGTATGTTACAATGTACACGGTAAAAAGGTATGTGTGAATATACTATGAGTATAATACAAGTTAGAAACAGTTGTATTATTATAATTTCCGTATTGTACAAAAATGATTGTTTATACAGCATTTACAGTAGTGCAGTTAGGTCAGGAGGCAGAATTCAAGAGTCTGACAGCTGTAGGGAAGAAGCTGTTCCGGAACCGGGTGGTCTTAGTCCGGAGGCTCGTGTAGCGCCTCCCAGAGGGCAGGAGAGTGAAAAGTCCATGTGCTGGATGACAGGGGTCTTTGATGATTTTCCCAGCCCTATTCAGACACCGCTTCCTGTAGATGTCGTTTATGGCAGGAAGTGGTGCTCCGGCGATGCGCTGGGCGGTTTTCACGACCCTCTGCAACTCCTTCCGGTCCAAGGCAGAGCAGTTCCCATACCAGACTGTTATACAGTTGGTCAGGATGCTCTCGATGGTGCAGCGGTAGAAGTTCACCAGGATATCTGAGGACAGGTGGTTCTTCCTTAGAGTCCTCAAGAAGAAGAGGCGCTGGTGAGCCTTCTTGATCAGCTTGGAGCAGTTGATCGTCCAAGTGAGATCCTCGGAGATGTGGACACCCAGGAACTTGAAGCTGCTCACACGCTCCACAGCCGTCCCTTTAATGTAGATGGGTGGATGTGGGTCAGCATTCCTCCTGTAGTCCACGATGAGTTTCTTGGTCTTCTCCGTGTTAAGCAACAGGTTATTGGTGTCGCACCACTCAGCCAGACGACCCACCTCCTCCATGTAGGCGGCCTCATCGTTATCATTGATGAGGCCAATCACCGTGGTGTCATCTGCAAACTTAATGATGGTATTGTGATGGTAGATGAGCAGTGTTTATCCAGCCGGACATGTTGGGGCCGGTTGGTCAGGAAGTCCAGTAACCATTTACACATGAGGGAACTGATGCCTAGGTCTGTCAGTTTCCTAATGAGTTGTGAAGGGAGGATTGTATTGAACGCTGAACTAAAGTCTATAAATAGCATTCTGGCGTAGGTGTTTTTATTGTCCAGGTGTGAGAGGACAGAGTGCAGCGCGCTAGAGACCGCATCCTCTGTGCTCCTGTTCTGAGGATATGCGAATTAGTGGGGGTCCAGAGTGAGGGGGAGACTGGATTTGAAGTGTGCTAGGACCAGCCGCTCTAAGCACTTTGTGATAATGGGGGTGAGGGCTACTGGGCAGTAGTCGTTGAGGCTCGATGGTTTGGAGTTTTTGGGTATCGGGGTGATGGAGGTGGATTTGAAGCAGGCCGGTACCACAGCGTGGGCCAAGGACAGATTGAATATGTCTGTGAACACTTCCGCAAGCTCCCCAGAACACGCTCTAAGAACACGCCCGGGGATGCCATCAGGACCTGCAGCCTTGTGGACATTAATCCTGCTCAGCACCGCTCCTACATCAGGGGGGGAGAGAGTCAGTGGTTGCTGGTCCGGAGTCACGTCTGCAGTAGTTAGATTCCCTCGCTCAAAACGAGCATAAAAGTTGTTGAGCTCGTTGAGGAAGGAGAGGATGCAGGGGAGGGTTTGGTAGTGTTTGGTTGTGAGAGACTTAGTGGATGTCATACATACGGTGTTTGTTTCACTTCAGACAATTTTGGGATAGGGAGGCAATTGTATTGAGGTGATAGACACACCTCATTTTGTGTTTTCCATGTAATGGTCTCAGTGTGTACAGGTGTGCCTTAAATTGGGGCCAATACCAAATGACAACCCTTTTCAATGTGGCATCAATTTCAACATTCTGTGGGTATAAAAGCTGGTATTGTCAGTAAGTCATTCCAAGTTCATCATTCAAACAGCCATGAACACACGACGTCACTTAACGGACGAGCAGCGCCACCTGGCCATGGTCACGCCTTCGGGTCGGTGGCAGGCAGTCAGATGTTGCAAAGTGTCATCAGCAGACTTGCATCAAGACACAGAACTACTGGCAGAGTTCATGACAGACCCAGGAGTGGAGCCCCACGAGTGACAGACCGCAACTATGACCAGTACCTAAGGACCTATTCACTCAGACATCGTCATGCAACTGCCACGCGGCTGCAGGTCCGTTTACGAGATGCGCGGGGTACTAGGGTTTCCAGACAAACCATTCGCAACCGACTCCACCGCTTTGGCTTGAATGCCAGACGACCGTTGCAGGTGACTCCACTGACACCAAGACACCGCTGTGAACACTTGTAGTGGGCACAAGACCATGTCATCATATGATAATTCAGATTTTAAAAAAAATTATACAAAAAAAAGTAATGCTTTTATTGTTTTAAAAACAGGAGAACCTTGAAACGTGCGGTTATAACCTTATCTCAATATGCTTTTGTGGAAACTTCATTCCGACCTAGAAGACATATGCCCTCTGCTGGTCTAGAAGAATATAATTGCAGTACGCATGCCAACCGCACCCACAGTATGAACGCAAGCTTTGTTTAATTCATTCCTTCATATAACTTCATAAAGGGTGACCTATGCAAAAGTGGGACACTTTTTCATAAATGTTTTAGAAAAATCTCATGAAAGCCATTTGCTCAAACTA